TAAAGTAGGATGTATACAAAAATGTATCTTACTATATGTACTGAAGAGTAAAGTACAGCATGTCTAAATAACAATGTATCTTAATACTAAACAGTAAAGTAAGACATGTCTACAAAACAATGTATCTTAATACTGAACAGTAAAGTAAGACATGTCTACAAAACAATGTATTTTAATACATGTACTGAACAGTAAAATAAGACATCTCTACAAAACAATGTATCTTGATACTGAACAGTAAAGTAAGACATATCAACAAAACCATGTATCTTAATACTGAACAGTAAAGTAAGACATGTCTACAAAACAATGTATCTAAATACTGAACAGTAAAGTAAGACATGTCTACAAAACCATGTATCTTAATACTGAACAGTAAAGTAAGACATGTCTAAATAACAATGTATCTTAATACTGCACCCAGGTATACATGTCTAAATATTGATATTAACACGAGTGGTGAAGTATACATTCACCAAAAACACATACCAGTGTGATTTCAGCTGTTATAATTTCTAACACTGGGTTGTTAACAGATTTCAGGAAAAAAATTTAGTGATCACTTTTCTGTTAGAATCCAGTTGAATCAAAAGCCTATGGTGACAGATGTCATTTTCTGAATTAATTTAATCTCATGGTATTGCATTAATTTTATAAACACTTTTTTGTGGCAGTTTTGAATCAATCATCAGTATGCTATTTCTAAACTGTATGGCATCATACATTGATAGTACCGTATTTAACCAACTGAACTACCCTGCTGTTTTCAGCCAAATACTGCTCCAAATGCATAACTTTTGCTGTTTCAAGGATGTCAAACCCGGAAAATGTCCAACTCCCTAAATATGAAACCTGTGTTATACAGTTATCTCCCTTGAAAGCATTCTTCCTGCATTATTTCTTTGATCTAAGTTCTTTATAATCATGAATATCATCATGTGATAAATAGTTTCTACTACTACTGGTATAAAGTGGAAAAATCAAACATTTTTGTACCATCTTTTAAAAAAATATACAAATCAAATCACACAAACAACATGTTTTTAACTGTAAGCAATGCTTAACAACAACCTAATTGTTTGTTGATACTTTTCTGTCTACAAAAAGAAACAGATAAATTGATTTCTTTTCAATATTGTAAATTAAAATGAATTTTCTGATGGTATGAATTTTCAGTTTTATTGAAAGCTTGGCAAAAAGATTTCGTGAAACAATGTATTTTTGATCACCTGTGAAAACACCTCATGGCGACCTTTTGCAATACCATTTAGTCCGGCACCATCCATTGTCTGACATCCAGCATCCATCATGCTTCTGTAAACATTTTATAATTTTACCTCTCCTGGAAAACCCCTATATTGATTTCAATGAAATTTGGCAGAAGCCTTCCACAGCCACATGTAAACCAAACTTGTAAATTATATGATCCCCACCCCAAGAGGCCAGAGAGGCAGGACCAAAAAGGAGCAAATTGACTGAAATTTTAAAAAATAATCTTTTTAATACCAAAATAGGGTAGAATAAACTATACTTAAGGGATGGAAGTGTTGTATAGACCTTTACCCAAATTGTAAATTTCATGGCCAGGGGTTTTACACTTCCCCTTTAGAAAGGGTAAAGTTTTAATACAGTTTACATAGGAAGCTTACCTTTTTCAAGCATAGTTTGTTTACTTTCAATAGGAAATAGATAGAAATTGACAAGTATTGTTTGGATAAGACGGCAGTTCCACGTTTAGCACATAATGACCCTGGCTGAACCCCAGGAGTTGATGGGCATAGTCAAAAAGTTTAAAATCTACTGAAATTTCAAAAAATATCTAAATGGGGTAGAATCAAATACTCTTCATAGATGGAAGGGTCTTAAGGTAAAACTCTTCTCTCCCTTAACAAATAACACTTCTTATTTTCTCTTCTCTATACTACATATTCATTCCAACTGTTTCTGTGTATAAGTTCACTCAGGTGACCATTTAGGCCCCTAGGTCTCTCGTCTCTTTTAATTCTATTGACAATGTGTGTATTTTTTTCGCAATTTCATTTCCATTCTTCAAAAATGATGAGTAACTGAACCCCTTGGAAATAACACCTAAAGTATAAATATTTATACACACATTGGTTAACATTATTTTATAAATTATGTCATCTCCGCTAATCCTCAGCTGTGGACATAGAAGTTGTTGTAAAAGCCTATCATCAACTTTCATCCCTCATGCTCCACGAGTGTAAATAAGTTATCATATATGAGGACACCATAAGTTTGTATCAAACCACTATATGAGCTAGTATATACTTGTGGGACCTCATGTTTCTGTGGACCGTACCACAACCCAGGAAGTGAAACTATATGATGAAATCATCTGTGGTGCCTCATTTGTAGAAGAGGGTTCTGGCTGAACTTAACATCCATCAATCAATATGTTGATGACAGACATATAGTTTCACACACATACACCACCATCCATATTCATTAAAAGCTGATTACCTTCCCTGAAGGAGAACAGCATGGTGAGTGATCCGATACTACCATCCCTAAGATAACTAGCTCAAGGAAGGATTTCTCCTTATCAGCTAATTACAATTTGGATTCTAATTACTTACTAGGTCAGTCACCGATTCATTCCAACATTTATTAATGTAAAATTAAAAATCTGATTCTAAGATTGCTATTAGATACATCCTAAACTCATTTCATTAGCTTTGTTTCCACAAAAGAAAATTAATTATATTTTTGCCAAGCACTTATGACACCCTACCTCAAAAGCACATTATATCTGGTGAAAATATCCCTTAAAAGTTGGGTTATCATCACTTTGTGCTGTTGCAAATTGACTTTACAAAGAACTGAACTTTTGATATATCCTAGTAAGTACAATGATTCAGCATCCATTTCTGAAAGCTTTTAGAAATAACAGTATTTCACAGCTGAACGTTTATAATATCAAGACTGACCATGTATGAATAAATGAATCTATTTTTTTATGTCTGGCACCAGGACTCCAAATGTAATTTATATGATCTTCTTCCATTAAAATTTCCTCTCTCATTCTGAATCAACATTTTTATGTCACATATGTTTATCAAATGTGACATCAGCCACCACAGAGACTGGTATTCATTAGAAATATTGTGGTTTTGACACTTAATTTTCATACCAAAAAACATAATGGCCAATTTGCTCTTATAGTTATACACAGCCCCACGATTATGATTCACTCCATATGTGGTGAACTCTTACTGCCTTTGATAAGCAAAACACATATTGACTAAATAGGAAATTACAAAGTAGGCCACACACGGGTAGATAACCAACATAAACACTATACCATCCCTTGATGGAAATCAATCTGCGAACAATTTTACATAACGTTCCGCTTGACGAACTTATTTTCATGTAGAATTTACTAGGAATCATAAAAAGGCTGTTCATTAATGGCAGAAAAATGGTATCAGATTTTATCAACTTAGAATGTTATTTATATATACTTCTGACTTCAAAAGCCAAATAACCTTCAGTATTGAGTTATGACACATCAAACACTTACTCCTGTGTAGCACATCATCACCAGATTCACATGTACTTCAAACTGAACAGAAATTGGTGTTTCATTCCTATTAATTGATTTTGTAGACTCAGTGTTAATAGTGTCACAAGGACTGTTATATAGAACAGACAGCCATATAACAATACCAAAAAACTCCTTTAACCAATTATATCAAAGGATTAGATGAATAGGCACATTAATTGACTCAAGACAACAAGAGTGGTCTCCCTTACCCTTTAAATCATATCTTGATATAACTCTAGTTATCTCCCATGTATTCACATTTTTGAAGTCTTTACAAAATGAGAAACCCATTTCAATGAATCACATTCTGAAAAATATTGATAGATATGTTTAAAGTATTGTTTACTTTCATTTCTTTTAAAATCTATTATCATGGAAACATAACTACCAAGTATAAACAGTTGAACACAGCATTACTCATTATGCTAGGTAAAACTGACTACACGATTAAAAAAATAATCAAAATGCTTATATTTTTTTTTTAATAACTGCAAAATCAACAAGTCTCTTATTTTGTGATCAACCAATGTATGTCTAACACCTCATACCCTCCATGCCGCTAAGTCCTCCAAAACTTCTCGAAAATAAGTCTTTAGTATGCATACCAGGATCAATTTCAAAATAAAAAAGATTATTTTGCAAGAGACATTTCTGAAAATAATCAACCATGAACCGTAGGTTTTGATAAATTGTGTTGTTTTATTTCTTTTTACAATGGCCCATTAGACACAAAACCACGGCATGTCAATGTCGTCATTGTAAATGTCGTCATTTCTAAATTTACGAGAACACATTTCTGATACAAAGCTTAATATGCTAAAATAACTGATTTGAACTTCAGGTTCATGTAATGAAGCCTGGATTAAGCATAATTTATCATAGAAAATTATCACACCTGCCCCACAAAGCTTCACTGGGCTTTGCTCATTTTTCTAGCATGATTCGTCAGGGTGAAAAACATATCATATGAAATAAAGATTGGAAACCCAATTGGTCATAATATCAGAATGTTGCTCACGATACTTTATGATAGCAGTTTTGATATTTTAAAGAATAAACAAATAAAAGTTTTTAAAAAATCAGTTTTCTTGTGGGAAAAATAAATCAAATTACAAATTTATTGTCTTCAAACAATTTCTTTAGAGACAAGTCAGTTTGGCACATCTGAAAATTAACATCCGGGTTTAGACATCCACAAAAATATGTCAACAGTTAATGTCACATTCTGCTTAATACCACATTTCCCCCTGACAGGTGGAACATGATATCAAGTGGGTTTCGCTGCATCATATCAAAAAAATACTGTTTCAATTTGTTTACATTTTCTTATCATTACAACAACTTCCCTTTGCACAGTGTATGGAATATCCCAAACCACACATCTAATCAGTATGAAAGACGGTGTTTGTACATAAGAATTTTTTGTTAACAGGTCACACATTCCAAGAGACACTAGACTATATATCGTCAGTGCGGGATCAGAGAGTACAGTACCTTGACCCTCCGGCCTGGGACAAATGTGGGCGCCCTAAGAACAGCTTTGTTACCCTGGAGGATGGGAGGCACATGTGTGCCAGGTACCGAGAGCCTCACAACAAAATGGTGCTTGGTAAGAATTAAAATGCAACAGTGAACATGAAATTTACATCACAGAATTTTTTTTCTTAACATAGTGAAAAGTAACCCATACAACAAAATTACTTTCTTCATATACATCAAAATATTACACCATGCAGATAAGGCTGGGCTTTCCATCTGAAATGGCAGTATTGTTTACCATTGGAACATCATGTGCTGTAAAGTAACCTCCCTAAAAACAAAGTTTATTTTTGCAATATTGTCTTTGATGGAAAACATATGCAGAAATTAAAAGAATGTTGCTTGTAGATATTCAAGAAAGAAATTCATTAACTGATGAACAATAAAACTTCAATTGACAGAAGATCTTGAAAACAGTACCAAGCAAATAACAAGGAACTCACTTATCTGATTAACTTTTATTGCTACACAGGTGAGGTGCTGTCATTCTACCTTTCTCGACTCCTGGGACTGGATAGCGTGCCTGCAGTTGTCCTGTCCATCACAAACCAGACCTCTCCTAGATGGCTCACCACCAACTACAGCAAGGTCGACTGGAAAGACGGCAAGGTTGTCGCTCTTATCCAATGGATACCTAACATGGAAAGCTCACGGTAAATTACAACTCATAATAAAGTTCCGAACTACACAGTGATACATAATGTTCATTAGCATAATAGTTTGTTGCCAGAAAAAATTAATCATTCATAAATCAATCTTTGAAGCCTAAAACAGACAGGTATTTTCCTTCTTCCATTAGAAGCTTGTAATCACATTTATTAAACGTTGACTTGATCAAGATTTTAAGACTTCTGTTCAGGAGTACAAGACATTTTACATGTCAAACTTACTCAAAACCTTCAAAAAGTTATCAAATACACCTACATCTTACAATTAAATTATTGTGGACAAAAGATGCCTGTCAAAGAAATCCACCCCCAATCAAATTACCATAATCAGTTTAAGTGCGATAGAAAGTCAAATGTGCACAATCAAATGGAAAATTCAAATAGTTCTGACATTATTTGACATCACAAGTTGTACAACGATGTCATCATCATATGATCATTTCAATATTACAAATTAGAAGACACATTGACATTACCTCGAACCGGAAAACTTGGATTTCTAGGAAAAAATAATTGGATGCTTAGAACATGTGGTAACATAATTTATATTATTTTGCAGCTCTCTAGTCAAAATACCTCAGTTTATTCTGGAAAAATATGAGCAGAAATCTGTGATAAACCAGGCATCAATAAAGAATTCCAACCTCACCACAACTCAACTGTCCCAACTATTCCAGTGGGGAGGCATGATCTTGTTTGACTACCTCACTGGCAACTATGACAGGTGTGTATAAAGGTTGTGTAATGTCTGTATACTAGTACATTACCTACAGTATAAGATCATGAAAAATTATCCAAAAATAAAAAAAGAAGTCAAGACTATGTTCTGATCTCCCAAGAGTTACTTCCCTTTGCTTCACTACAGTATAGCAATAAGCTCAATTGATTGCCAATATACATGTGATAAAGATACTCTGGTGTCATTTAATCTGATTTAAATTAAACCTTTAATGAAATGGTCCCTATGGACTGTATCCCTTTTTCTTGGTCAATGTCATAAAATGATTTTTTATTATCAATGTTTAGTGAAAAAGGTTTCAATACTCTAAATTTCCTACATGATTTATTTTGATTTTATGTAACATTGATATGCACTAGGAACATCAATATGTTTTTTTTATTTCCTACAGGGTTGCCAGCATGCAAGATGCAGCTTACAAGGAAAAGAAGCCAAGCATTATATCAGAGAATATACGTAACCTAAGAAAATCTATAAAAACTTCCAAACTTTGGTTGATAGACAATGAAAGTGGTCTTCTAGATGCCTATGATCTGATGTATCACAATGGCAACGGTTATGGTGGTGAAAAATTTCTCAAATTCCATCGTGACATGCTGCAGACTTTTTGTATATTTCCAAGGACAATTGTGGAATCACTAGTCAGACTAAATATGATGCTACAACCAGAGCAAGTACTTCTGGAGTTCGCTAGAAAACATGAACCTTTACTTGATGTGTTTCCAAAAGATTCCATTTTCAAACTTTTCCAGACGAGATTTAAAGAGAGAGTATCGGAAGTGTCTGATTGGGTTAAAACTTGTAATTCTAATGTGAGTAATGAGCTGAGATGACAACTCGTTACTAATTATTAAAGTTCTATTCAACCAGAATCAATTGTACCAAGAATTGCTGGCATTACACAGAAAGGATACATACAATGGAGAACATATTATACTATCAAAAGTACTTACACGATATGTCTTCAGATTTAAAACAATACACCTGATAAGATACAAGAGGTAAAGCCAACACCGTGACTTGTAATTGGGCGGATCCATTACTCTCCGACTGCATACCTGAAGATACGCAAGGTGTTTGTGTCGTAGTGTAGATCAAAAGAAGGTAAACAACCACAGGTTCCAAGTATATTTCTTCAATTCTATTTGATACTCATCAACATGTTTTGCTCTTCCCATGCTTCATCAGGACCTCGTCATCAGAACCTGGTCTTAATGAATCCCAAGAAGGATGAAACAAGCCGACGAGAATCTGATAAAATTGAAGAAACATACTCGAAACCTGTTATTGTTGTTTAACTTGTATTAATATTCCCAATACATACATGAAAAAAACTTTGTAAATCAAATTTTATGCTGAAGTGATAGCTCAATACACCGGAGTCTTAAATTACACCCTTGACTACATGAATTGAAATTGGTGTTCCAACTTTTTTTATGTAAAATGTTGAAAATAACGTCTCATCTTCATAAATTCAATGTCATCCTTATCGACATACCATCTTTAGTTCTGATATGATAAGGTAACTCAATCTTTTTAAAAAAAAGTGTAAAGCTGTTGATGCTTTGTACAACTGGTCCTGGTTGCATTATTGAAACTGTGATATTTTTTTTCAAACTATCAATTAATTATGTTCTATACTGCATTGCAACGAAAATAAACTTTAAAAGGCTTTCAGTAAAGAAAATTGATGCCAATAGATTCTATTTTGTGTGAACCAAGTTTTAACACATACTTGTTGCTTATTATGATTACTACAAAATCTGCACTTGAGATGATTTTTTTTTTGTCTTGACTTTGTTAGCTATATGCCCTAAAGTATGAAGATGCTCTTTGGAAAACATCCAAGTTATCTACCTAAATTGGAGAACAATCTGAAGATTCAAAACCCCAAAACAAGAAATTCTATCAAAATTAGGTTTGAACAATTTCCTTTAAACAAGACAATGACCCCTGAATAGAATAAATCACAAATGGGCACCATTAATGTGGGATGATATTGTAAAATGTAAGAAATCCATAAACCTAAGAAATATACCACATTTGACCTGTTAGCTAATGCTTATTATTAGAGGTTTTTATTGAATCTATAGCAAAATAGTATAAATACATTCATCAAGTTCCAGAAAAAGATTTTAAAGAATATAACATAACACAAAAACTCTCAATCAAGTGGAGGAAACTCTTCTGTAATTGATGATAATTGGAAGTTATTGAGGAACAAGGGAGATAACTCAGCTAATAGTGTAGATATGTCTTTGTACTGTGCTAGTCAAATCATATATTTTCACAAGGAATGTGCTTTCAGTTCCAAACTAGAATTTCAAAAAGCATCTTTAAGATAAGTGTTACTCTTTAAAAAGCTTCATATATGTTCTTTACACCAACATAGTCAAACACTTTATTTCTAATTGTTGGAGATGTCATGCAGCAAATAGTTGTTCATAATCATTTGCTGTAAACATAGTGTGTCTAATGTTAATAAAAAATACAGAACTGTTTTCTTGGGGCCATTCTGTGCATTTCAGTGAATACTTCTTTTTAACAACTGGTTTGGTGTTTAAAATTCACTGCACTAAGTGCAAATATTACTTTTCATTCGCTCAGCTGATTCAAAAATGAGGAATTCAAAAATTTTAAAGCTTCTTATCCGCATTCAAATTATCTAACTGAAAATTCTACAGGAAAAGATATAAATGAATGTTGAAGAAAACTTTTCAACTGGTCTTGTCAATATTTTCAGCACAATTTATTTGACAGTTTTATTTGTAACTATTGAACACGTTCATAATATGAAGAAATCCAGCTTGTTTGATATTGTATTACGTGATCACTTCAACCCAACCATTTTAAAGATGACATTAATCAGAATATAAGAAATCCAAATCATTATGATATCAATTACGTAATGTATAGGTCATTTTCACCATGTGACATATTTTTCATTAGAAAAATTCTTACTGAAAGAAATCCAAACAGAATCTATTGTGATATTCACTTATTTCTCATTTTAATTTTCTGAACTTCCCATTCAGTGTAGTAAAGGACAAAAAAGAAATAATTGTGTTCACATCTGAAAATGTACCATGCCGCAAAATACTGAAACCTGAGACAATGAAGATTAGTGAAATCCATTGTACATAGGTACTATTTATCTATATACAGGACAAGTATTTGGTTTATATCTAAATATCACAGGAACATTCATGATACATTTTTATCAATTTTATCTTAATTGAAAAGTACTAGTTTGTTTTCTTCTTTGAAGAAGATAGACTAGATCTGGGACATATAACAGAATTCATCATACACATCCCTGCCCAGATCAAGAGTGTGACTATGAAAAGTGTAATAATTTTTTTTTCAAAATATCATATTTGTCCAATGTAACAAACTGATGATTATTTTTCAAATTTATTTTTGTTTTCAATAATAGCACATTAAAAAGTTTCGTTTTTTAAAATAAAGACTTCAGAGAAAGATTTAATGAATTACCTAACTAAACCATTTCACATACATACAGTATAAATCTATAAATCTAAAAAAACAACCTGCATTTGTCTACTGTAACATTTTTGTTTTAACAATTTTACTACAGTAATGTTTTATGTCATATAAATTATTTGTATATGTTGAATGAAATTGTTGAGATTTTAAAAAAATATTGAAGAATAAAATTCTTTTGTGAAAATTTGTGTAAATTAGTTATCATAAGTCACGGACATGTTTTCCTCAGTGTTATACTCGCTACTGGTCACCAGCCTATTCTCGCCCAAAGATCACTTATATTTAAGCATGAGGATCATTTCAAACATTTCTGGATGGTGAAAAAGATGGTAAATTTGTAAAGTTATGTGTAAGTTAACGAAAAGAAATCCTTCAGCTGTAAAAGTAATAGATTGGCGACCAATATGCGAGTTAATCTGGATCATAAGGTATCGAATCAGAAGTGCGATATTACAAGATTATGCACTATGACTCTGCGTGCTGTCATGCTTAATAATTCATGAACTTGATAACAATTAATACAATTATACATCCTGAAAGTAATTCGAGGAAATGAAATTGATATGATGATCGCGATTATCCAACATCACGAACCTTACCAATACCATTTCAATTACTAGATAGCTTTCCATAATAAATTGTATCCGCTCCGAACAGCCATTTTCATCAGCATCCGGGCTTTGTCCTAATTTGCATGTGAGTTGCGCACGTGAATCCATGACCTCATGATCATAGAATGACATATGTAATTTGCATAAGGCATCTTCGTTGGTATTGAAATTCGCTCAGTCTTTAACCGTCACAGCACAAAAAACGACTGTGTCAGATTCGATGGCAAAAAATCCAAATAATTAGCTCTTTCGTTTTGTAAAAGCATATAATAGTTTTAAATTTTATTAACGACGTGGCGAAGACATGTACACACACTATGTATTTCGTTTTGTGTAAGATAATCTTCCAACCGTTAAAGCATTATGTTTTCAAAAATATTCTTTAAGCATTATACCCGAACAAAAACATCATCGTTCTGGTTCCAAACTACACTAGAACTGGATTATGATTGCGTGTAAGACCGCTGAGGAGTGTAAAAAATACAAACGAAAGCCACTACATATAGACCTAAGTTCCAAAACGCCAAATTTCTTAACCAGACAAGTGTTCATAATTTGCATATGCGTGCATCTGTCACAAATGAAAACATTATTACGGACCTGCATTCTTTCTACTGGATTCATTGACTTCACAACCCTTTATTCAAAACTATGCACATACAGTTGAAATTCGTTATCTCGAAATTCAAGTGACAGTGAAAAATATTTCGATTCATCCGAATTTGGACGCAAAATGTATGTAATTTTATTTATATAGTTTCAAATAGTCCTTACAACACTATTATTGAACAGCGATTCTACATAAATCCATCTTATGTAAGGATGTTTAAGTCACCCGACCTGTACACTACCATGCATCAATCACGTGTATGGGAACGCCTAAAATTTGCACCAGTGCATGGTCGTAACAGACGACTAAGCTTTATATTTTCAATTTCTTTCCTTAAAAACGAAAGAATATACCAGCATCTCAAGATAATAACCCAAACTCAACTTCAATAAAACGTGGGGAAGATGTCAACAAAAGAAAAATGTACACGGATGCAACTGAAAAATTACATGGAAAATAAGGACCAGGTGTTCCGGAAGATTAAGTGTCTTCGGTTTCATCGACGATATTCGCCATGTAAATCTTGGTCAATTCAGCAAACTAATGTCATGTTCTCAAATGAAAACTAGGTATACAACAACGGAACCAACAGGCAAACGAACGTGCATCAAACACGCACAGTGTCCTATCGCACAAAGAAATAAAATGATTCTCAGTGAGATCACTATGACAACCGTACTGCATCATAATTTGCATCAATCTACATATTTGGAAACCTTGTGTTGCGAGGTTATCTGTCAGTTAACGACTGAATGGAACTTAGTGGAAGCAGGCCCTTGAATATTTTATCAACTGCGACATGAAAACACTATAGGTTGGGAACGCAGGGTAATGCTATCCAGAAATGGAAAATTCATAATAGGGACATTGAAATCATCACGCTTATCATACAGCTTGGTGGAAAGCTGTCCATGTTGGTTTTGTTGTAGGAAAAGATTGAGATAAGCGGCTGATGTAGAAGAGTCTGTTATGTCCTTGTTTCCCAAGTCTAATGGATATATACGATGGACGTGGTTGATAAATGTCTTGTTATTCAGCGACATCGATATATCTGTAAAAGAAATTAAACGATTTTGCAACGTTTCTATGAAGACAGTAGACATAGTAGACATTTTTGAATCAAGCACATATTTTTCTTGTTATTCCACTGACTATGTAGGTCTTCTTTTTGTGGCCAAACATACTTTAAAAATGAACTAACTTGTGTAAGTGAAAGTCGATACAGGGTGGATTTGGTCAAATGTTACGGCAATATCGAGCTTTGTCAGTTTAAGAAGGAAATTGCGTGTCTGCCAAAAAAATCTGATACCAAGCCGTTGAAAAGCCAAGTTAGTAATCAGACGCATAATATACAGAACATTATAAAAAAAAAACCTGTAATATAATACTGCATTACTTACCCTTGAACACCTGTACTCAGCCTGGGTAGGTGACTATTATTTCTGTCCATCCCCAATTACATGTCATTTAGTGTAAAAATTTGGTGTACAATAATCTCTACCCCTTTCTTCAGGTCATTATCCTTTTTTTCTGTAGTTGAGTCAAAGACCTATCCCCAATTACCTGTCGTACAACAATCTCTGCCCCTTCCCTCGGGTCATTATCCTTTTTTTCTGTAGTTGAGTCAAAGACCTATCCCCAATTACCTGTCGTATAACAATCTCTGCCCCTTCCCTCGGGTCATTATCCTTTTTTTCTGTAGTTGAGTCAAAGACCTATCCCCAATTACCTGTCGTACAATAATCTCTACCCCTTCCCTCGGGTCATTATCCTTTTTTTTCTGTGGTTGAGTCCCTGACTTATCCCCAATTACCAGTCGTACAACAATCTCTGCCCCTTCCCACAGGTCGTTATCATTTTTTCTGTAGTTGAGTCCCTGACTTATCTCCAATTACATGTCGTACAACAATCTCTGCCCCTTCCCTCGGGTCATTATCCTGTTTTTTTTCTGTAGTTGAGTCCCAGACTTATCTCCAATTACATGTCGTACAACAATCTCTGCCCCTTCCCACAGGTCGTTATCATTTTTTCTGTAGTTGAGTCCCTGACTTATCTCCAATTACATGTCGTACAACAATCTCTGCCCCTTCCCTGGGGTCATTATCCTGTTTTTTTTTTCTGTGGTTGAGTCCCTGACCTATCCCCAATTACCTGTCGTGCAACAATCTCTGCCCCTTCCCTCAGGTCATCATCCTTTTTTCTGTAGTTAAGTCCCTAACTTATCCCCAATTACCTGCCGTTTAGTGTACAAATTAGGCGTACTACAATCTCTGCCCCTTCCCTCGGGTCAGTATCATTTATTCTGTAGTTGAGTCAAAGACTTATCCCCAATTATCTGTCGTATAACAATCTCTGCCCCTTCCCTCGGGTCATTATCCTTTTTTTCTGTAGTTGAGTCAAAGACCTATCCCCAATTACCTGTCGTATAACAATCTCTGCCCCTTCCCTCGGGTCATTATCCTTTTTTCTGTAGTTGAGTCCCTGACTTATCTCCAATTACATGTCGTACAACAATCTCTGCCCCTTCCCTCGGGTCATTATCCTTTTTTCTGTAGTTGAGTCCCCCAATTATCTTACAGCAATCTCTGCCCCTTCCCTCAGGTCATTATCCTTTTTTCTGTAGTTGGGTCCCTGACTTATCCCCAATTATCTGTCGTACAACAATCTCTGCCCCTTCCCTCGGGTCATTATCCTTTTTTCTGTAGTTGAGTCCCTGACTTGTCCCCAATTACCTGTCGTTTAGTGTACAAATTGGGTGTACAACAATCTCTGCCCCTTCCCTCGGGTCATTATCCTTTTTTTCTGTAGTTGAGTCAAAGACTTATCCCCAATTATCTGTCGTACAACAATCTCTGCCCCTTCCCTCGGGTCATTATCCTTTTTTCTGTAGTTGAGTCCCTGACTTATCCCCAATTACCTGTCGTTTAGTGTACAAATTGGGTGTACAACAATCTCTGCCCCTTCCCTCGGGTCATTATCCTTTTTTTTTCTGTAGTTGAGTCAAAGACTTATCCCCAATTATCTGTCGTACAACAATCTCTGCCCCTTCCCTCGGGTCATTATCCTTTTTTCTGTAGTTGAGTCCCTGACTTATCCCCAATTACCTGTCGTTTAGTGTACAAATTGGGTGTACAACAATCTCTGCCCCTTCCCTCGGGTCATTATCCTTTTTTTCTGTAGTTGAGTCAAAGACTTATCCCCAATTATCTGTCGTACAACAATCTCTGCCCCTTCCCTCGGGTCATTATCCTTTTTTCTGTAGTTGAGTCCCTGACTTATCCCCAATTACCTGTCGTTTAGTGTACAAATTGGGTGTACAACAATCTCTGCCCCTTCCCTCGGGTCATTATCCTTTTTTTTTCTGTAGTTGAGTCAAAGACTTATCCCCAATTATCTGTCGTACAACAATCTCTGCCCCTTCCCTCGGGTCATTATCCTTTTTTCTGTAGTTGAGTCCCTGACTTATCCCCAATTAAATGTCGTACAAAAATCTCTGCCCCTGCCCTCGGGTCATTATCCTTTTTTCTGTAGTTGAGTCCCTGACTTATCCCCAATTACCTGTCGTTTAGTGTACAAATTGGGTGTACAACAATCTCTGCCCCTTCCCTCGGGTCATTATCCTTTTTTTCTGTAGTTGAGTCAAAGACTTATCCCCAATTATCTGTCGTACAACAATCTCTGCCCCTTCCCTCGGGTCATTATCCTTTTTTCTGTAGTTGAGTCCCTGACTTATCCCCAATTACCTGTCGTTTAGTGTACAAATTGGGTGTACAACAATCTCTGCCCCTTCCCTCGGGTCATTATCCTTTTTTTTTCTGTAGTTGAGTCAAAGACTTATCCCCAATTATCTGTCGTACAACAATCTCTGCCCCTTCCCTCGGGTCATTATCCTTTTTTCTGTAGTTGAGTCCCTGACTTATCCCCAATTACCTGTCGTTTAGTGTACAAATTGGGTGTACAACA